CTTTAAAAATATGGGGTGCTCTTCCCATATGCCCGATGCGAATAAAGGCGTGAAAAGGGATCTTTACTTTTTTACTTTTATATATAATCTTATAAGTGCGCCGTAGCTCTGCCAGTATTTATATATATTTATATTTTAAAATGGACAATATTTGCCAGAGGTTAGATCAACGTTAGATCCAGAAATACTATTTTTGATTTTCTGAAATAATTTGCCTTTCACGACTTGCTTGTCGTAGCGTGTCTATTTTCTGTGAAATCCGGGAACCGTCACCGGGAACAGTCACCGGAAACTGTCATCAGGGCAATAAGGTAAACATTTTATAACTCAATCAAGCTGAGGGGAGGGACGGGGGTGGGGGGGGGGGGGAGACTAATTTCCACTCCTTTCTCTATTGTTGCTGCTATCTCCTAGTCAAACCCCTTTCCCCCGTTGTTGCTGCTATATCACCTAGTTAAACCCCTTTCCCCATTATTGCTGCTATATCACCTAGTTAAACCCCTTTCCCCATTATTTCTGCTATATCCCCTAGTTAAACCCCTTTCCCCATTGTTGCTGCTATATCACCTAGTTAAACCCCTTTCCCCATTGTTGCTGCTATATCACCTAGTTAAACCCCTTTCCCCATTGTTGCTGCTATATCCCCCAGTTAAACCCCTTTCCCCATTGTTGCTGCTATATCACCTAGTTAAACCCCTTTCCCCATTGTTGCTGCTATATCAACTAGTTAAACCCCTTTCCCCATTGTTGCTGCTATATCCCCCAGTTAAACCCCTTTCCCCCGTTGTTGCTGCTATATCACCTAGTTAAACTCCTTTCCCCATTGTTGCTGTTATATCAGCTGGCTAAACCCCTTTCCCCCGTTGTTGCTGCTATATCACCTAGTTAAACCCCTTTCCCCATTATTGCTGCTATATCACCTAGTTAAACTCCTTTCCCCATTGTTGCTGCTATATCACCCATTTATACCGCTTTCCCCATTGTCGCTGCTATATCACCTAGTTAAACCCCTTTCCCCCGTTGTTGCTGCTATATCACCTAGTTAAACCCCTTTCTCCGTTGTTGCTGCTATATCCCCTAGTTAAACCCCTTTCCCCCGTTGTTGCTGCTATATCACCTAGTTAAACCCCTTTCCCCATTGTTGCTGCTATATCACCTAGTTAAACCCCTTTCCCCATTGTTGCTGCTATATCACCTAGTTAAACCCCTTTCCCCATTGTTGCTGCTATATCCCCCAGTTAAACCCCTTTCCCCATTGTTGCTGCTATATCCCCCAGTTAAACCCCTTTCCCCATTGTTGCTGCTATATCACATAGTTAAACCCCTTTCCCCATTGTTGCTGCTATATCACCTAGTTAATCCCCGTTCCCCATTATTGCTGCTATATCCCCCAGTTAAACCCCTTTCCCCCGTTGTTGCTGCTATATCACCTAGTTAAACCCCTTTCCCCATTGTTGCTGTTATATCAGCTGGCTAAACCCCTTTCCCCCGTTGTTGCTGCTATATCACCTAGTTAAACCCCTTTCCCCATTATTGCTGCTATATCACCTAGTTAAACCCCTTTCCCCATTGTTGCTGCTATATCACCCATTTATACCGCTTTCCCCATTGTCGCTGCTATATCACCTAGTTAAACCCCTTTCCCCCGTTGTTGCTGCTATATCACCTAGTTAAACCCCTTTCTCCGTTGTTGCTGCTATATCCCCTAGTTAAACCCCTTTCCCCCGTTGTTGCTGCTATATCACCTAGTTAAACCCCTTTCCCCATTGTTGCTGCTATATCACCTAGTTAAACCCCTTTCCCCATTGTTGCTGCTATATCACCTAGTTAAACCCCTTTCCCCATTGTTGCTGCTATATCCCCCAGTTAAACCCCTTTCCCCATTGTTGCTGCTATATCACATAGTTAAACCCCTTTCCCCATTTTTGCTGCTATATCACCTAGTTAAACCCCTTTCCCCATTGTTGCTGCTATATCCCCTAGTCAAACCCCTTTCCCCCGTTGTTGCTGCTATATCACCTAGTTAAACACCTTTCCCCATTATTGCTGCTATATCACCTAGTTAAACCCCTTTCTCCGTTGTTGCTGCTATATCCCCTAGTTAAACCCCTTTCTCCGTTGTTGCTGCTATATCACCTAGTTAAACCCCTTTCCCCATTGTTGCTGCTATATCACCCAGTTATACCGCTTTCCCCATTGTCGCTGCTATATCACCTTGTTAAACCCCTTTCCCCCGTTGTTGCTGCTATATCACCTAGTTAAACCCCTTTCTCCGTTGTTGCTGCTATATCCCCTAGTTAAACCCCTTTCTCCGTTGTTGCTGCTATATCACCTAGTTAAACCCCTTTCCCCATTGTTGCTGCTATATCACCTAGTTAAACCCCTTTTCCCATTGTTGCTGCTATATCCCCCAGTTAAACCCCTTTCCCCATTGTTGCTGCTATATCACCTAGTTAAACCCCTTTCCCCATTGTTGTTGCTATATCATCTAGTTAAACCCCTTTCCCCATTGTTGCTGCTATATCCCCTAGTTAAACCCCTTTCCCCCGTTGTTGCTGCTATATCACCTAGTTAAACCCCTTTCCCCATTGTTGCTGTTATATCAGCTGGCTAAACCCCTTTCCCCCTTTGTTGCTGCTATATCACCTAGTTAAACCCCTTTCCCCCGTTGTTGCTGCTATATCACCTAGTTAAACCCCTTTCCCCCGTTGTTGTTGCTATATCACCTAGTTAAACCCCTTTCACCCGTTGTTGCTGCTATATCACCTAGTTAAACCCCTTTCCCCCGTTGTTGCTGCTATATCACCTAGTTAAACACCTTTCTCCAGTTGTTGCTGCTATATCACCTAGTTAAACCCCTTTCCCCCGTTGTTGCTGCTATATCACCTAGTTAAACACCTTTCCCCATTGTTGCTGCTATATCCCCCAGATAAACCCCTTTCCCTATTGTTGCTGTTATATCACCTAGTTAAACCCCTTTCCCCCGTTGTTGCTGCTATATCACCTAGTCAAACCCCTTTCCCCCGTTGTTGCTGCTATATCACCTAGTTAAACCCCTTTCCCCATTGTTGCTGTTATATCAGCTGGCTAAACCCCTTTCTCCGTTGTTGCTGCTATATCACCTAGTTAAACCCCTTTCCCCATTGTTGCTGTTATATCAGCTGGCTAAACCTCTTTCTCCGTTGTTGCTGCTATATCACCTAGTTAAACCCCTTTCTCCGTTGTTGCTGCTATATCACCTAGTTAAACCCCTTTCTCCGTTGTTGCTGCTATAGTTAAACCCCTTTCCCCGTTGTTGCTGCTATATCAGCTAGCTAAACTCCTTTCCCCATTGTTGCTGCTTTATCACCTAGTTAAACCCACTCCCCCGTTGTTGCTAATGAGGACAATATCTATAAGCCCTCTGAGCAGGTCAGCCCGGCACTAATCAATGACCAGTTCTGCTTCCCGGCCCCCTCCCTCCCACACCGTATCACCACTCAATCCACTACTGTCCCCTTTATTTGATAAATTATTTCCACAAGCCCCTTTCTCGCTTAAAAAATGAGGTGGGGGGGGGGACGGAGGGAGGCGGCTAGAAGGTCCAAAAAATACTTGACACCCCCCCCCCCCAACCCCCGTAACACCTCCAACCGATTGCTGACACGTCGGCAGAGATACCATTGTACTCATTGTCTCATAAGAGTAGAAATAAAGAGGAGGAATCATGATCTTTGTGACTCACTGCTGGCTTTGGAAAACGGGACATCAATGTCAGGGCTTCCAGGATCAGAAACTGGTGAGTTTCTGTGTCACAAGTGTACCAGATGACCTTGAACCTCAGGAGCAGCCCTTGTCTGACCATCAGGTTGCAAGCTGTGTCTGCAGTCAAAGAATTGAAAACATCCATATTACACACGCCCATATCACAGTTTGGGGCACACAGGATTAATTCTCAATAAAAACTGTCATTGTTACAGGCTGGACATACTAAGCTCTGCTACCTGACTCAATTGTACACACCTCTAGATACAGAACAAGCAGGCGACAAGTTGAACTGAGATGCTGCGTGTGTGCGAGAGTGAGTGCGTGCATAGGTGTGTGTGTGTGTGTGTGTGTGTGTGTGTGTGTGTGTCTACGTCAACGGTTTCCAATTAGTTTAATTTAAAAAATTGTTTAAAAATGTATAGTCCAGGCACAGTTGCTTAGGCCTACGGTAGCCTACGTTTGAAACGCTAGTGATGTTTAGAAGCTATCTTACGGATTAGCGGCAAATAGAGTAGATAGCAAGGAAGTTTCCAGTAAAGAGATATTAAAACAACTGAAATTATATTTTCAAAACTTTGAAACCAATAGAAATGATTTTGTCAAAACTAAGAAGTTCTTCCAAAGTTAAACCAATCAAACCATTTTTATTACAATCGATTGAACACTGTTGGAGAGAGCATCAATGTGCTCATCTTCGTGTTGTTCATCTCCTGCACCTTCTTCCTGGTACCATGCCCTCTGCTAAAATTGTTTTCAATCCGTCGTGGCGCTTCATATGACCAAAATATTTTAGCTTCCGGGACAGGATGCTGTTTATTAGCCAATCTTCCTTGAAGTTAAGATCTTTCAAGATGTCAGTAAGTAAGGTGCGAAAAAAATAGTTTTGTTTCTCGTGAAAGATTTTGAATTCCTCTTGTAAATGCGGACAATACTCTTGTAGTAGTGGAAAAGATCTTCTAATATGTATGTATTTATATATATATATATATATATATATATATATATATATATATATATATATATATATTTATATATATATATATATATATATATATATGTGTGTGTGTGTGTGTGTGTATAAAACTTAGATACGAAAATTACAAGAATATTGGGTTCGTAGAATGAAATGTCTCAGTGTGTGATTTTCTTCAATGTGTTGACCAATAGTTCTATGTTATCTGCGAAACTGTAGGGTCATGTTCAGACATTCCTTGTCGAGCTGAGAGCTAAATACGTCTATATAAATCCAACATTCAAGTAAGTGTCTTCATTCTCTACTTTACTGGGAGGCTTTATCCCCACTGTTATGCTTTTGTTGTGTTCTGCAAATAATCACTAACGTGGCGCCACAGACCCAGAGAGGTTTTCTTTCTGGGAAAGCTTTACCGACAAACAGGTGCTGGAGTGTGTTCGGGAGTGTATAATTATTGACGTTTGTTTATATTTTAACGCTCGTTGGCGGTGGTTGTCGTCAGTGGTCAATGTGCTTGAACGTTAAAAATAAGCAAAACATAACACCCCTAGAACATAGGACAGCTCTTGGGAACGGCCATTAGAGCTCGCGCGCGAGCGAGATGGTGTGAATACAGTGATTAATAGCGAAGTTTTTTTTTCTTCTTTTAGTTTCTTAGTTTTGAAAGACATAAAACAATGTCCGACACCAAATAATGTGTCATTTTCCCAAACTGATCAACAGGACGTTTATCCATGACAATGTAACTCCTTATCGAGCACAGGAACCACTGCATTCTCTTCCTGGACTTCTTGTTTTCCCTCCATGGCCATTAATGTCACATGACCCCTTGTTTTCCCTCCATGGCCAGTAATGTCACATGACCCCTTGTTTTCCCTCCATGGCCAGTAATGTCACATGACCCCTTGTTTTCCCTCCATGGCCAGTAATGTCACATGACCCCTTGTTTTCCCCCCATGGCCAGTAATGTCACATGACCCCTTGTTTTCCCTTCATGGCCAGTAATGTCACATGACCCCTTGTTTTCCCTCTATGGCCAGTAGTGTCACATGACCCCTTGTTTTCCCTCCATGGCCAGTAATGTCACATGACCCTATTGAGCGTCTCTGGGAAATGCGCGGAAACTTATCGAATGCACCTCAAAAGTCACAATGCTTAATAAGGAATAGGGCCGGCCTCTGGCATCTAACAACTCGCCGTGACTGTGTGAGATCTGCATCTAACAACTCGCCGTGACTGTGTGAGATCTGCATCTGACAGCTCGCCGTGACTGTGTGAGATTTGCATCTGACAACTCGCCGTGACTGTGTGAGATCTGCATCTGACAGCTCGCCGTGACAATGTGAGATCTGCATCTGACAACTCGCCGTGACTGTGTGAGATCTGCATCTGACAACTCGCCGTGACTGTGTGAGATCTGCATCTGACAGCTCGCCGTGACTGTGTGAGATCTGCATCTGACAACTCGCCATGACTATGTGAGATCTGCATCTAACAACTCGCCGTGACTGTGTGAGATCTGCATCTAACAACTCGCCGTGACTGTGAGAGATCTGCATCTAACAACTCACCGTGACTGTGAGAGATCTGCATCTAACAACTCGCCGTGACTGTGTGAGATCTGCATCTGACAACTCGCCATGACTATGTGAGATCTGCATCTAACAACTCGCCGTGACTGTGTGAGATCTGCATCTAACAACTCGCCGTGACTGTGTGAGATCTGCATCTAACAACTCAAACAGCAGAGCCGTGGATACTCACCATCAACACAAAGCTTACAAAGAAGAATCAAATTCTGTCTCGGCAACTGCAATTTAAACACAGGCAGGAAATAGATTATTTCTTGAAACTGTATTTAACCTGTCCTATTTATTTTCTTACATTTTACATTTTCATACAATGTTGATTTTAAAAATTGTTCTGTCACACTTATCAACAAACAACATCCGGCGCTTTTAAAGAGTTGTCAGCACGTGTCCGACTTTGCCAAAGTTCTCTCAGCATCACGTGACTTGCAAGTCAATCATCTACTACTGAAATCCTTATCCTTGCTGTGTTAGCAAAGTCTGGAATGACACGCCATGATGAAATGTGTAGTGGCTGATGTCTCAGGTAGTTTGTGACTGCACAGGTGTTCCGTCTGACTGAATACACTAAAATACAGAAAAATTGCATTCGTCGCAAAGTCAAATAACACTGACAGTACACCATACACCTCTAGCTGGCAAAGTGGAAAGTTCGGGGAATGCCAGACAGGTCTGGCAGTACACCATACATCTCTAACTGGCAAAGTGGAAAGTTCGGGGATGCCAGAGAACACTGGCAGTACAATATACATCTCTAACTGGCAAAGTGAAAAGTTCGGGTAATTCCAGGCAGCTCTGGCAGTACACCATACATCTCTAACTGGCAAAGTGGAAAGTGAGTCTGGTTTATGCCCAGACAGACAGTTGAACATACATCTATATCTGCTTTCTGTCACGTGATGGAGGGTTTACCTTTCATGTTTTTTTTTAAAGAGATAGCGCTTACCACTCAGGTGATATTCCTGTTGGCTGCTCGTATTTTCTGTCCTTTAAGGATTCAGTCCGGATCTACTAATGGAGGTCCGTGCACTAAAAGCGTAGATAAAACTGGTCCATTGCCATTTCCCTGCCCCGACACAGTCAGGACTATAATAATTACTATTTGACACAACAGCCAACAATAGAAGTAACTAATGGCGGAAAAAAATACTAATTTTGTGAATCAGTAACAGGAACTGAATTTGAAAGATATGACAGACAAATCTCTGTTTGAGAAGATAACCAAACCCCCTTTTATTGGAGACAAATGACAGTCATCACTTGTCATCCCCATGTGGGATGCCATTTTTCGTTATTTTGAAGCCCCACTTTGGCCCTTGCCAGGTCCAATGGCTGAGCGCGGTTTCCGGGACCTCTCCCCGGGTGATAGCTCGCCCACCTGGTTGCACATTGTGTCATCTCGGGTGTTTATCGCTTGTGTGATGTCCTGGTGGGGTAAAAAGTCAGTCAGTCACATCATAGAGGCTACAGCAGCCACAAACACACATGTATATAGTGGTACAACACATGCAACGGTCGGCACAAGAATAGTTGGCTCTTTCCGCCACCACACTTTTGGGTAACAAGTTAAAAAAAAGTAAAGGTTTCTTTTTCACGCCTTTAGGCATATAAGGCATATAGTTCTATAGAGCAATGGGCACAAGATGGGTGATATGGTCAACATGAGGGCGATACTTTTACTTCCCGGCACTGCACCCGGTGCTGGGTCGACCTGGGAGTCAAGGTCATTGGGTAACAGCAGTGCAGTAATAATCCACCAAGCAGAAGGTTGAGTAAATGTGCACTTGTTGAGGCTTTACTCTAGATGTCGTATATATGGTGCTATACACTCACCCGAACCAGCTCCACTTTTCCAGATCATGCAAACGCTTCATTATAGTCTATGTACAACATACTTGGACAAGACTGCCCCAAATATATACGCATAGTTCTAGCTTTAAATAAGGGACACAACCGGCTGTCTGTTATGGAATGGGTTGTGTCAGTGTCCACGAAAAAGACCGTAGGATCTTGTTTACTACCGAAAACTTCTACAATCAATTATGTGAAAGTGGGGGTCAAAGTGGGGGTCAAAGTGCACGGCTTTTATTCAAATAGCACTGCAGTCTCCACCGTTATGGGAAGCACACACACACATACACACATACACACATACACACATACACACATACAGACATACACACATACACACATACACACATACAGATTTACAGACAGACAGACAGACAATTGACTAGAATATATTAACGTCCATCCCTTGACTGCACGTTTTCATAACCTTAATCATCCCCTTGTGAGATGCAATTTTTCGTTATTTGAAGCCCCACTCAGGCTCTTGCCAGGGGCCACAATATAGCTCGGCCATTAATATAGCCTAATGACTGAACGCGGTTTCTGGGACCTCTCCGCGGGTGATCCTCATCCACATGGTAGCACTTTGTGTCATCAGGTGTTTATCGCTTATGTGATGTCCTGTTGGGGTAAAGGAAGAAAGATAGATAGCCTTGAACGTTTGACACCGGATACTCACCGTACACCAGCTGTGGCTGTGATCAAGTCCTGGAGTCTTCAATCTTGTTCTTGAATTTCGTGATTTCTGGAAGTGATAGAATACATGTTTATGTGTAACGGCATTCTACCTAATTGTCGCCCATAGTTACGTTCATAATAGTGACAATTTCAAATATCTAACATTGTTCTTTCCTCTTTATTAACTTTACTTCATATTTTTTTTAAAAATCATTCTCAGCAATTTACTTGTTAATAATAAAGGTTCCTTTACACGTCAGTGGCGCATCAGGCCTTTAAGGCTAGACTCATATATTTATAGACTAGTCAGTGGCGCATCAGGCCTTTAAGGCTAGACTCATATATTTATAGACTAGTCAGTGGCGCATCAGGCCTTTAAGGCTAGACTCATATATTTATAGACTAGTCAGTGGCGCATCAGGCCTTTAAGGCTAGACTCATATATTTATAGACTAGTCAGTGGCGCATCAGGCCTTTAAGGCTAGACTCATATATTTATAGACTAGTCAGTGGGTCATGTGGTTAGCATCAGGCCGGAGTTGTCTTCTAGCATCGTCATGATCACCGTGCAGCAAGTGACTTGCAGAAAGTCTATCCCACGTCATGATCACCGTGCAGCAAGTGACTTGCAGAAAGTCTATCCCACGTCATGATCACCGTGTAGCAAGTGACTTGCAGAAAGTCTATCCCACGTCATGATCACCGTGTAGCAAGTGACTTGCAGAAAGTCTATCCCACGTCATGATCACCGTGTAGCAAGTGACTTGCAGAAAGTCTCTCCCACGTCATGATCACCGTGTAGCAAGTGACTTGCAGAAAGTCTATCCCACGTCATGATCACCGTGGAGCAAGTGACTTGTAGAAAGTCTATCCCATGTCATGATCACCGTGTAGCAAGTGACTTGTAGAAAGTCTATCCCCCGTCATGATCACCGTGTAGCAAGTGACTTGTAGAAAGTCTATCCCCCGTCATGATCACCGTGTAGCAAGTGACTTGCAGAAAGTCTATCTCACGTCATGATCACCGTGTAGCAAGTGACTTGCAGAAAGTCTCTCCCATGTCATGATCACCGTGTAGCAAGTGACTTGCAGAAAGTCTATCCCACGTCATGATCACCGTGTAGCAAGTGACTTGCAGAAAGTCTCTCCCACGTCATGATCACCGTGTAGCAAGTGACTTGCAGAAAGTCTATCCCACGTCATGATCACCGTGTAGCAAGTGACTTGTAGAAAGTCTATCCCATGTCATGATCACCGTGTAGCAAGTGACTTGTAGAAAGTCTATCCCCCGTCATGATCACCGTGTAGCAAGTGACTTGTAGAAAGTCTATCCCCCGTCATGATCACCGTGTAGCAAGTGACTTGCAGAAAGTCTATCTCACGTCATGATCACCGTGTAGCAAGTGACTTGCAGAAAGTCTCTCCCATGTCATGATCACCGTGTAGCAAGTGACTTGCAGAAAGTCTATCCCACGTCATGATCACCGTGTAGCAAGTGACTTGCAGAAAGTCTATCCCCCGTCATGATCACCGTGTAGCAAGTGACTTGCAGAAAGTCTATCTCACGTCATGATCACCGTGTAGCAAGTGACTTGCAGAAAGTCTCTCCCATGTCATGATCACCGTGTAGCAAGTGACTTGCAGAAAGTCTATCCCACGTCATGATCACCGTGTAGCAAGTGACTTGCAGAAAGTCTATCCCACGTCATGATCACCGTGTAGCAAGTGACTTGCAGAAAGTCTATCCCACGTCATGATCACCGTGTAGCAAGTGACTTGCAGAAAGTCTATCCCACGTCATGATCACCGTGTAGCAAGTGACTTACAGAAAGTCTATCCCACGTCATGATCACCGTGTAGCAAGTGACTTGCAGAAAGTCTACCCCACGTCATGATCACCGTGTAGCAAGTGACTTGCAGAAAGTCTATCCCACGTCATGATCCCCGTGTAGCAAGTGACTTGCAGAAAGCCTCTCTAGTGAAAGATTTCTGAATCTTAGCCAGTTCTAATGCCTCAGTAATTCTCATGACCTGTGTGTCTTTGATGTCTAGTGTTGGTTGACCCCTGTCATTTCTTCCATGAGTTCGATTACAGTTCTTTCTAACACAATATAATGTTTCATATTATTTATATTATAAAATCATAGATACATTTTATAAGGAGAAATATTTAACCACTAGTATCCAACAAAGTATCTGAGGAATTATTTGTGCATTATTTATGTGATCATTTTAAATTAAAAAAAAAAAAAAAAACGTATTTTAAACAAATATGTAGTCCCCCTTTCAATATCTAACTGTCTAATGACTGACTGAATTGTTACTTCACTAGGACATCACACTGAGCGATAAACACCCAGTGACACTAAGTGTCACCATTCGGATGAGGATCACCCGTGGACAGGTCCAAGAAGCCTGTTTCAGCCATCAGGTTATATTAGGGCTCCCAACAAACAGCCAGAGTGGGGCCTCCAAATAACGACAAATTCGTCCCAGATGGGGACGGCTATGATGCATGAACTCCCAATCCTCTGTAATAATTACACATTATCAGTAAAATTCATTCATTTGTGTGTCTTGTCGCAAGAACTCGAATGTAAACGGAAGTTACCGACACCGGGTGTTTATCGCTTGTGGTGGGGTCCTGGTGGGGAAAGGGGGAGGGTGAGGGGTGGGGGTTGAACGTCGGTCAGTCAGTTTATTCTATCAGATCATTATAAAGCGGTGACTCGACATTTTAACGATAGATAGTATTATGGATTCCCTTCCCTGAAAATATATTTTACTGCCTAAACCTCATATCCTCCCGACTACAAAGTACCCGTTAGAAAATATTTTAGAGAATTTAATGAGAACACATTGCATGGTTACCCACACAGAAAAAGAATGCAACATGTGAAATCAAAGCTTATTAGGAAATAATTATAAATCGAAATTTTGATCAGATAAACAAAAGGGACTTTAATAAAAGCTTATAAAAAGCACAGAGCTTGCAATTCAGACCCTGTCACCTAAATAGCTCACAGGAAAGACAGTTTGGTAAAGTACCTGAAGTGATCTATTTAGTGCGGCTATAAATATCACACACACACACACACACAAAAACACATGGTCAGTCAGAATTGCTCTCTCTCTCTCTGGTGCTCAAACTTTATCAGAACTTGCAGAAAAGGCGTTCCCAGACGGTGTTACGCTGCCCTTTGCACCAGGACAAGTTAATCACTAATTACTGTTGCATAACTCAGTGGTAGCGCGTGATGGCATTTTGCAGCGGTGTTTTCAGTCCTCTGCTCTGTTGTTCATCCGTCACAGACGACGGTGATTACTCTTGCTGTCATCCGTCACAGACGACGGTGATTACTCTTGCTGTCATCCGTCACCGACGACGATGATTACTCTTGCTGTCATCCGTCACAGACGACGATGATTACACTTTCTGTCATCCGTCACAGACGATGATGATTACTATTTCTGTCATTCGTCACAGACGATGATGACTACTCTTTCTGTCATTCGTCACAGACGATAATGACTACTCTTTCTGTCATCCATCACAGACGATGATGATTACTATTTCTGTCATCCATCACAGACGATGATGACTACTCTTTCTGTCATCCGTCACAGACGATGATGACTACTCTTTCTATCATCCATCACAGACGATGATGACTACTCTTTCTGTCATCCGTCACAGACGATGATGATTACTATTTCTGTCATCCGTCACAGACGATGATGACTACTCTTTCTGTCATCCGTCACAGACGATGATGATTACTATTTCTGTCATCTATCACAGACGATGATGACTACTCTTTCTGTCATCCGTCACAGACGATGATGACTACTCTTTCTATCATCCATCACAGACGATGATGACTACTCTTTCTGTCATCCGTCACAGACGATGATGATTACTCTTTCTGTCATCCGTCACAGACGATTATGATTACTGTTTCTGTCGTCCGTCAAGAAAGTGCAGATAATTGTCTGTGAGTCCGTAGATAACTTAAACGGGCCCGAAAGTATCTAGGATAGTGTGGGCAGGGAACAGTGTATGTACGGGTCTTTCTAAGCTGTCATTGTTGTTTAACTGTCATTTTCTAGATGCCTCGCAATTAGTTAACAGAGGTACAGACTTCCTCTAAACTGTTCTTAAACGCCAGCCGGTCGCCATCGCCATGAGCAGTGATTCCCATGCCTCCCAGTAACAAGAAAGGCGATGATTGATGTATGGGCTAGAATCTCCTTGAAACACTCTATCAAAATTCATCTTTTTGTCTCTCTCTCTCTCTCTCTTTCTCTCTCTCTCTCTCTCTCTCTCTCTCTCTCTCTCTCTCTCTCTCTTAGCCATATGGATACAATTTGCTTCAAATAAAAGATCATATGATTGGACTCTACCACCCTGACAGCTAGCCCATGGTATTGACTCAAGACAATGATTCCGGCAACTTAGGCGTGACATTAGAGTACACACAAATTCCAATTCCTTACATTCTTTGCACTATCTGTCAACATTTGCATGGCTGCTGTGATCACCAAGTAATTGTCCACTGCCAGTATATTCAGCAAAGTGTTTCTGTTGCTGCACAGACTGTTCAGTATAAACAGGCAGCTCAGCTGTAACTCGGGGCTGTTGCAATCTTGAAGATGTCTCACCGCTTGCGCAAGAATACCTTCGTCTATAAGGTGCCTTTGAGCAGGATCTGTTAGGAAAAGACTGTAACTATTGATTAGCTGAACATGAACATCAGTGCTTGTGGTCCACTGTGATAATGATACTTCTTCTTCTCTTCCACCATTTACCTCAACGAGGTGTTGGGGGCAGATGTAAGGGTCGTTTGTGCGGTGTTTAAGTCGGTGTTAATTTCTGTTAGGTTGCTCTTGATGATGTCGCTCCATCTCTTGCGTGATCTCCCCCTTGCTCTGTGTTCATTGTATTTCTTCATCGTGGCTCTCTGTGGCAGTTGGTACAAGGGCATTTTCTTCAGGTGGCCGAGCCATCTCATTTGTTGTTCATTAATGTATTGTGTGACTGACATCAGTCCAAGTCTTCTTCTTATTTCTTCATTCCTGATTTTATCTCCTCTTGACACACTGGCAGCTCTCCTTAGATTCTAATCTCTGTTGTTACAATCTTCGGCTAATTGTAGACTGTTATACATCAGATCACCACCAAGTGGTGAAGAGCCGGCCAGTCTGTCTGCCTGCTCATTTCCCAACACATCGGCATGACCTGGAAAACAAATTGGCTCTCTTTTGAATAACGGTCCCAAATGAACTACGCAGACAGTTAACCCAAACAGAGCCTCACTCATATCGAAAAGTCGCATGTCTTTTGCGGCAATTCAACCGTCTCAAAAGTAGGATTAACTGCGCACGACATTTTCGCGAAACGCAACTGATTTTTTTACAGCGATTAAACGGCGACAAAACTAGGATTAACTACGGGCGGAAAAAATTAGCGACACGCGAGAATACTCCCGTTAGCGCTATCCTACGGCAGGGCCCAAGTTTTCTGTAAGTTGCGGACCGATTTTCGCCGACTTTAATGCCACCTCCGAGAGTATCCCCCGCGCCGCGCGTAGCGGAAGGGGCTAAACTAGATGGCTAGGACTCACGAGCAGCAGCTACCGCAGCTCCTGCAGCTTCATCCAATGTATTTGCTCGTGAGTCCTAGCCAGTTTACTTTCGGAGGTGGCACTATAATCGCCGGAAAAAAGTCAACAATTTACAGGAGCTACTTCTTCTGTCAGAACTACCATCGTGACGGCTGTTGGTTTGAAGTTGTCCGAGGCGACATGCGCGTACAGTAAACCCCACAGTAAACCTGTTCATGTCTCGCCCGGAACGAGAATCGCGGATAGGCCGTGCTGAGTTGGAATAGCAGACAGCAAGAAAGAACAGATATTCGCGCACTATTTGTAACTAGTGTCCCACAATTTTCACATTAATTGATTTAATTGTCGGTAAGTAGTAGACTTTGTCCTTTTTCTTACACTTTTCGGTCCTTACATTTCCCCAGTTACAGCTTTCAAATGTTTGTAGGGCAGTACCTAATGAGGCTCTGTATGGGTTAACTGTCTGCGTAGTTCATTTGGGACCGTTATTCAAAAGAGAGCCAACAAATTTAAAGGATGCCAACTACCCGGACCTCTAAAATGATGCTTGCCACTCTGCACGGAGCATGCCTGTAAGCACGTTTCTCGAAGAAGAAGAAGAAGAAGAAGAAGAAGAAGAAGAAGAAGAAGAAGAAGAAGAAGAAGAAGAAGAAGAAGAAGAAGAAGAAGAAGAAGAAGAAGAAGAAGAAGAAGAAGAAGAAGAAGAAGAAGAAGAAGAAGAAGAAGAAGAAGAAAGCAGAAAGAAGAAGAAGAAGAAGAAGAGAATAAGAGAAGAAGAAGAAGAAGAAGAAGAAGAAAGAAGCAGAAAAAGAAGAAAGAAGCCGAAGAAGAAGAAGAAGAAGAAGCAGAAGCAGAAGAAGAAGAAGAAGAAGAAGAAGAAGAAGAAGAAGAAGAAGAAGAAGAAGAAGAAGAAGAAGAAGAAGAAGAAGAAGAAGAAGAAGAAGAAGAAGTAAAGATGAGGACAACAACAATGATAAGGAGCATGGATTATGATAAATACTGAAGTTAAATACCGTATCTGGACATAACTTCCAAGCAGGCGTAAACTCGTTTCTTTAGCAAGATGTCACGAGTGTCGCCTAATCTGATCAGTTGAGAGATGCCTCCTAAGTTGACAATCGAGCTAATGTAAGAAGCTTGAAGTCAGAGGAAGCTTACAGATACAGGGCGACAGAGACAGACAGCTAGTAATATAAGCTTACAGATACAGAGAAACAGATACAGCTAGCAATGGACGCTTACAGATTCAGAGAGACAAATACAGCTAGCAATAGAAGCTTACAGATTCAGAGAGACAAATACAGCTAGCAATGGAAGCTTACAGATTCAGAGAGACAAATACAGCTAGCAATAGAAGCTTACAGATTCAGAGAGACAAATACAGCTAGCAATAGAAGCTTACAGATTCAGAGAGACAAATACAGCTAGCAATAGAAGCTTACAGATTCAGAGAGACAAATACAGCTAGCAATAGAAGCTTACAGATTCAGAGAGACAAATACAGCTAGCAATGGAAGCTTACAGTAACAGGGAGACCGATACAGCTAGCAATAGAAGCTTACAGATAGAGAGAAACAGATACAGACAGCAATAGAAGCTTACAGATACAGGGAGACCGATACAGCTAGCAATAGAAGCTTACAGATTCAGAGAGACAAATACAGCTAGCAATAGAAGCTTACAGATACAGGGAGACCGATACAGCTAGCAATAGAAGCTTACAGATAGAGAGAAAAAGATACAGACAGCAATAGAAGCTTACAGATACAGGGAGACCGATACAGCTAGCAATAGAAGCTTACTGATACAGAGAAACAGATACAGACAGCAATAGAAGCTTACAGATACAGGGAGACCGATACAGCTAGCAATAGAAGCTTACTGATAAAGAGAGACTGATACAGACAGCAATAGAAGCTTACAGATACAGAGAGACAGATACAGCTAGCAATAGAAGCTTACAGATACAGGGAGACAAATACAGACAGCAATATAAACTTATAGATATAGGGAGATATATACAGCTAGCAATAGAATCTTCCAGATACAGGAAGACAGAGACAGACAGCAATAGAAGATTACAGATACAGCTAACAATAGAAGAGTACAGACACAGACAGCAATAGAAGCTTACAGATACAGCGAGACAGAAACAGCTAGCAATAGAAGCTTACAGATACAGGGAGAGACAGACAGCAATAGAAGCTTACAGATACAGGAAGACAGAGACAGACAGCAATAGAAGCTTACAGATACAGAGAGACAGTAACAGCTAGCAACAGAAGCTTACAGATGCAGGGAGACAGATACAGCTAGCAATAGAAGCTCACAGATACAGGGAGACAAATACAGACAGCAATATAAACTTATAGATATAGGGAGATATATACAGCTAGCAATAGAATCTTCCAGATACAGGAAGACAGAGACAAACAGCAATAGGAGCTTACAGATAAAGAGAGATAGTGACAAACAGCAACAGAAGCTTACATATACAGGGAGACAGAGACAGACAGCAATATAAGCTTACAGAGACAGGGAGAGAGATACAGGAAGCATTAGAAGCTTATAGATACGAGGAGACTGATACAGACAGCAATAGAAGCTTACAGATACAATGAGACAGATACAGCTAGCAAAATAAGCTTACAGCTACAGGGAGACAGATATAGCTAGCAATAGAATTTTCCAGATACAGGAAGACAGAGACAGACAGTAATAGAAACTTACAGATACACAGAGAGATACAGACAGCAATATAAACTTATAGATACAGGGAGAAAGATACAGACAGTAATATAAACTTATAGATACAAAGAGACAGATACAGCTAGCAATACAACCTTACAGATACAGAAAGACAGATACAGCTGCTAGCAATAGAAGCTTACAGATACAGGGAGACAGATACAGCTAGCAATAGAAGCTTACAGATACAGGGAGACAGATACAGCTAGCAATCGAGGCTTACAGATACAGGGAGACAGAGAGAGACAGCAATAGAAGCTTACAGATACAGGGAGACAGATACAGCTAGCAATAGAAGCTTACAGATACAGGGAGACAGATACAGCTAACAATAGAAGCTTACAGATACAGGGAGACAGAGAGAGACAGCAATAGAAGCTTACAGATACAGGAAGACAGATACAGCTAACAATAGAAGAGTACAGCTACAGGGAGACAGATATAGCTAGCAATAGAAGCTTACAGCTACAGAAAGACAGATACAGCTAGCAATAGAAGTTTACAGATACAGAGACAGATACAGCTAGCAATAGAAGCTTACAGATACAGAGAGACAGATACAGCTAGCAATAGAAGCTTACAGCTACAGAAAGACAGATACAGCTAGCAATAAAAGTTTATAGATACAGGGAGACAGATACAGCTAGCAATAGAAGCTTACAGATACAGGGAGACAGATACAGCTAGCAATAGAAGCTTACAGATGCAGAGAGGCAGGTACAGTTAGCAATAGAAGCTTACAGATACAAGAAGACAGATACAGCTAACAATAGAAGCTTACAGATACAGGGAGACAGATACAGCTAGCAATAGAAGCTTACAGATACAAGGAGACAGATACAGCTAGCAATAGAAGCTTACAGATACAAGAAGACAGATACAGCTAACAATAGAAGCTTACAGATACAAGGAGACAGATACAGCTAGCAATAGAAGCTTACAGATACAGAGAGACAGATACAGTTAGCAATAGAAGCTTACAGATACAAGAAGACAGATACAGCTAACAATAGAAGCTTACAGATACAGGGAGACAGATACAGCTAGCAATAGAAGCTTACAGATACAAGGAGACAGATACAGCTAGCAATAGAAGCTTACAGATACAAGAAGACAGATACAGCTAACAATAGAAGCTTACAGATACAAGGAGACAGATACAGCTAGCAATAGAAGCTTACAGATACAAGGAGACAGATACAGTTAGCAATAGAAGCTTACAGATACAAGAAGACAGATACAGCTAAATATAGAAGCTTACAGATACAGGGAGACATATACAGCTAGCAATAGAAGCTTACAGATACAAGGAGACAGATACAGCTAGCAATAGAAGCTTACAGATACAAGGAGACAGATACAGTTAGCAATAGAAGCTTACAGATACAAGAAGACAGATTCAGCTAACAATAGAAGCTTACAGATACAGGGAGACAGATACAGCTAGCAATAGAAGCTTACAGATACAAGGAGACAGATACAGCTAGCAATAGAAGCTTACAGATACAAGAAGACAGATACAGCTAACAATAGAAGCTTACAGATACAAGGAGACAGATACAGCTAGCAATAGAAGCTTACAGATACAGAGAGACAGATACAGACAGCAACAGAAGCTTACAGATACAGGGCGACAGAGACAGACAGCTAGTAATAGAAGCTTACAGATACAGAGAGACAGATACAGACAGCAACAGAAGCTTACAGATACAGGGAGACAGAGACAGACAGCTAGTAATAGAAGCTTACAGATACAGAGAGACAGAGACAGGCAGCAATAGAAGCTTACAGATACCGGGAGACAGATACAGGGAGACATATACAGAGAGACAGATACATGGAGATAGATACAGGGAGACAGATACAGGGAGACAGAAAGTCAGTGCTTTGATGATTGTATGTGGGTTAAGTCCGACCAATTCCTTTCATTTAAAAAAAAAAAAATATTACAATTTAAATAAATGACAGACATGGTGTAAATGACATTGAGTGATATCCTTGGAAATCTGTGACAAGAACCGGGTCAGAACGGCACACACTGCACAAGAGAAATGAACCAGCTTTATATTATATCTCACAGAGAGACAGCAGGCATTGCCCACAGACTTTAGGATCACAGACAAACCCTGGGCCTATGTATCCAAGGAGCAACGACAAGCTAAACAATGACAAGCTAAACAAAGACAAGCTAAACAAAGACAAGCTAAACAATGACAAGCTAAACAAAGACAAGCTAAACAAAGACAAGCTAAACAAAGACAAGCTAAACAATGACAAGCTAAACAAAGACGAGCTAAACAATGACAAGCTAAACAATGACAAGCTAAACAATGACAAGCTAAACAATGACAAGCTAAACAAAGACAAGCTAAACAAAGACAAGCTAAACAAAGACAAGCTAAACAATGACAAGCTAAACAAAGACAAGCTAAACAATGACAAGCTAAACAATGACAAGCTAAACAATGACAAGCTAAACAAAGACAAGCTAAACAATGACAAGCTAAACAATGACAAGCTAAACAATGACAAGCTAAACAATGACAAGCTAAACAAAGACAAGCTAAACAATGACAAGCTAAACAATGACAAGCTAAACAATGACAAGCTAAACAAAGACAAGCTAAACAATGACAAGCTAAACAATGACAAGCTAAACAATGACAAGCTAAACAAAGACAAGCTAAACAATGACAAGCTAAACAATGACAAGCTAACATGACTGTGGAGACATTCTGGGCAACCATCAACATATGCTGAGGAGCCTCAGGGGCTGGCGCAGTAGCTAGCATGCTTGCCAGCAAGTTCGGTAGTTTTAACCTGAGATTTTTGTCCACAGGGAGATTTTAAAACAAGGTCACCTACTATCCCAAGTCGATCCAGGAAAAAATGAGTACTAGGAGACAGTCTGGGAAGTAAAAGTGGCTGTTATATCATAGCTCGGCACGGTCCTGAATCGAATGTCTATTGATCAGTCAAAAATATGAGACTAACAGAATGTACGACGCTCCGCCCCTGAAATTGTCCTGTTCAGTTGCTGCATTTTCCACACAGTCATACAGAAGCTTCAACCGTTCTATGTTTGGCTGTTCTTTCTAGAATATTCCAAACCTTTTCCACGCAGTCATACAAAAGCTTCAACCGTTCTATGTTTGGCTGTTCTTTCTCGAATATTCCAAACCTTTTCCACACTGTTCAGATGTATCTTAAGTTCTCTCATCGGTGTATTGAAGGTCTGACATGTTTATTTTACCTGATGGATATAGGTAAAGGCAATTTCTAGTTAGGTTTGAATACGATTTCTCAGTGTGTTTCATATCCAGCCTCAGTCTTGAAGCTTTTGTCCTGCTTTTGATTCACTGGCAGTCTATCTCGCTAATGACAGCCT